GATACAAAAATTATTGTAAGTAAAGGACCTCATTATGACGTCATCATGTCATTTATTCTTGATTTTTCAATATTTATTTCAGCCCATTGTCTTTGTACACGTTTTCAAGCCAGCATTTGGGTTAGTTTGAGAGCTTTGATCAACTTCAAAGTTACAGCCAAGAAAGACCTTGATGCAAAGATACGTCCAGATTTATGAAATCATGATGACGTCATTTGATTTATTAGTGATTTGTTAATATTTATTTCAGCCCATTGACTTTGTACACGTTTTTGAGGCACTATTTTTGTACCTTAGTAATCGTTTATCATCGTCAAACTTACAGCAAGCACTAACTATACAACGAAGATAATTCTAAAATATTTATGTCATGATGACATCATCACGGGATGTATTATCAAATTTTGAATAAAAACCCATATAAAAATCAACCGTGCCCTCCCGCAACATTCGGTTTCCAGCAAGTGCTGGGATATATAATATGTGGTTGAAACTGGAAGTAGGCTTATTGTTTAAAAGTGGTAAAAGCCATTAAGTTTTTTTTACGGAATGAGTCTGTCGGTGTTAGTGCTGGGTTGAAACCCTGCTTATATCCTGGAGAGGTAGTACTTTAGGCAAATATTGAGCATATTTAGTGATGATGACATCATCAGGAGACAAGTCACATGACATTAAAGGGGATCTCTTCAAACCACTATACCTCGAAAATTACAGGTCTGATGCGGTTGAAACTTTGTGTGTGGCTGGAAATGGAAGGGTTTTAGACCCAAATTGATCTGATTTGATTCTGATCTCATCTGGTGACAAGTCACGTGACATTAAAGAAATACAATTCTTGTAACTGGTATCACATCCACTCGTGATGACGTCAACAGTCGAAGAAGTCGTATATGTTATCCTTAAGTAAGTATTATAATTTTTAAGCTATTGTGAGAAGCTCCACAAAGTACAAAGCAAACTCTCAACTGTGAGAATAATATCACATGACAAGTCATATTAGATTATCTTCTAAAGTGGACATCCAATTGCATTGGTTGAAACTGATTATAAATGAAATTTTTTCGGGGGTATATGTCACGTGCAGAATACTAAATTGTTCATTTTTACTCTCTCATAGTTTGAGATTTTTTCATCACAATTGCAAATACTTATTTTGTGGGTGTAATAGTCCCGAAACAGCTCTGTGTTTGTACTTGTTTACAAACACTTCTCTCTAGTTTTCCTTTGAATTTTTCCCTCCCCTCCCAGGATCGCCGTCGCAGGGGTAGTCACCGCTGACCCAAAGGTGGGACGTTGTGCCTTGCACACAGCCCACCTCAGCGGTCCTACCCCTCCCCAACCGGGGATTCCCGACAGTGGGCATTTAAGATACCCACACCAGTGATGCCGGGATCCCCAGTCCCCCTTTCTCTCCCTCCCTTTACCCTTATTCCCTCCCCTCCCTTTAATACTGCTTTCGTTTATATCTACTAAACGAGTAACTATTGTGTGAAATTTTGGAAAAGCTTGTCTTCGTATTTACAATTTTCTCTGTGTATCTCTTTCTTTTTTTGATTATCTTTCTTTAAAGTACATACGTATTTTACTTCTGTTTATCCAAGTGTATTCTTTGGTAAAATTCGTACTCGTTTATTTCTGTCTTTTTTTTCTTTAGTTTAATTCTCATTTACAATCCTGTTGTATGTAATTTTTCTTAATTTATTTTTGTTCATCAGTTAGTTTGTTTCTGTCCTTGATTACAAACTTTTGGTTACATTTCACACTAGTACAATTTATTGTAAACTTTCTTGTCAATGATCTTGTTTGTATATTTTTTTCCAATTAATGATCTTTTTGTACTTTAATTTGTGCTTTTTGGTTTTCTTATGATTATTCAGTAACTTCTTGTTTGTATTATTCTTCATTTGTATTTTTCACGTGATCTGTTTTCAACCTTATTTACATGTCTTTTTCCTTGTTTACAAATCTTTTGACATGGCTCATCTAATCACTGTTCTATCCCCCTCCCCCTTTCCCTTCCAGGAGCTTGGCCATGGCAGTGGGCAGAATTGCCCACGTCCAGAGACGCCGATGGCCAACTCCGCCCCTTCTGCCACCTCCCCTCTCTCAGCCTGGCTTGAGTCCGGGGCAGCAGCTCGCCTCGGCGAGATATGGGTCGTATTCCCTCTGCCTCGTGATGCAGGCCCTCCACCTCTCATTCCAGTAACCCTCCTTGAGCCACATAGAATATTTGTATTAGTTAATTTGTCAATAGTGTATACTTCTTTCTATCTATTATACAGTTTTCCTGACTAAATTTTGCTTCTGCTGTGTTTCTCTTTTGTTCACCCTACCTGTTTTCTTGTCGATTGTAATAATTTCAACTGTTAAAAGTTGTTTATCGGCTATACTGTATCTCTTAATACATTCTTCTGTTTTGTTCAGTTATGTTAAAACAAATCTGTTATCTGTAAATATTATAATTTTGTTGTAAGTAATTGTATTTTTGTTCATTTCAATTGAATGAAATAAAGTTTCCTTTTGAAATGTCAAGGTCTTCTTCAAATTCTTCAAATTTTTCAAATTCTTCTTCAAATTCTTCAAATTTTTCTTCAAATTCTTCTTCAAATTTTCCTTTAAATTCTTTTTCAAATTCTTCTTCAAAAGATTGTATATTTCCTTGATTAGGTCTTGGGTAAACTACTGTTGCATGGCATGGGACCTGTATAGGCATAGCCATTCAAATACCTTGGAGCGTATCCAAAATCAGTGCATCAGCTTTGTGTGCAGAGATTGGGACTTGTGCTATGGTTCATTGCTCTCTCGACTAGGCTGGACAATTGAGAAATTATGCTTTCGCCTTGTGCTTTGTTGTAAAATAATGAATAACATTACCAATGTTAATGCTGCTAATAATTTTATTCTGGCTTCATGAATCTGCCAAAATGACCGAAGCTCAAAATTAAGTGTCCTTTTGCTATTAGCAAACTGATTGTCTTAAATACATGTATTCCCATTTTGTCCAGACAGGTAGGGAATGGAATGACCTGCGCCATAAGGTCATTGAGAGTCTCTCTTGAGTATCTTTAAATCATTGCTCCATCTCATCTTATCGTGTAACTTGTTTATTCTTTTGTTTTAATTTTATCTTATATGTTTTCTTATTGGTTTGATTTTGTGTTTATATGTAGTGTGTTTTAACAACTTTTTCTGCTAACCTTTTCAGTTAATTGATTCCTCTTTTATTGTTATGAAATCTTTACTGTTTTAATGTTTTTAATGTTTATTTCATTTGTCTATATTTTAGTCCAATTTTTGTTTTAAATGTAATTGCTATTCTTATGTCTGAGGTGCAACAACATTATTGTTGTTTTGGATAGTTTCATTTGTTTTAGCTTTTAGTATATGTATAGCGTATCTTGTTTTAAATGTAGTCTTTTTTTTTTTCATTTTATCCGGGGAGTGATGTGAGAAGGACCTCAAGGTTTACAGGTTCATGATCCTTGACATGGTCAGAAATTAATAATAATAATCTTCTTTCACAATCTTGACCGAAGTTATGTCAAACTTGATCAGTTACATTGCAAACCGAGAATTTTACCAATGTTTTCCAATGGTCAGTAGAGTCATTTGACTAAAGCATATGAAATGCTTTTTTTGCAACCACTCTTTATTTGTTTCAGTGCATTCTTGACACATGCCCTGTATGAAATGTCAGCAGATTTGAGTCAGTGTTGGCTGAGTGTTCTGGAGTAGCTGCTTTACAAACATTTTCAAAATACTTCTGTGCTTACATTTTCCTCACCAATTTGAGACATTTAGCAGATCAACATTTGTTCAGTGATTTGATTGAAAGTGCCTAAGGAAGTGTTCTGGTCCCAAACTCTCAAGTCTACGACAATTAGTCAGCTGCCCCTCTTGCAAATATATCCTTGTGTGCTTTGGTGGGTTCAGAATGGAACTCTTTGTTTTGACGTGTCACTCAGTTTGGTAAATGATGAAAATGGACATTGTATAGATTTCAAAGATGTTGATGATTCCTATTGCTGAAACACTGTACAAGATTCTTTCAAGGGAATTTTAGTCAAAATGGCTTTGTTAACATGTGACTCATTTCTGCAGAGCAGGTCCCATTTGGGCTGGAGTGTCCCCAAAATGTTTTGGAGTCTCCATAATAACTATCATACATGTGTGTGAAGTCCCCACAACTATGTAATGAGTACATGTGTGCACTTGTTTTTGCCAGCCTTATAATTTCTTTCCTCTATTTAGGCTGGATCTGTCATCATATATTTCAGTTGCTGCAATGTGTTAAAAACAGGTTAAATGTAACTCTCACACTAAACTTTAGTCAAGGCGCGCATGGCACCAGTGCCCTATGGATGCTCAACTGGTGACAAGATTTTGAAAAGGCCAGTGTGAGTGACAAAGTCATGAGCACCTATTCTATCTCATGGAGTGAAAATATTCAAGTCACATACGCTGTAGCATGCAGGGTGGTTACAAAAATTCAAATGCCACCTATTCGCACACTTTTTTTTCAGTGCCAAGCACCCATACACACAACTGTCCCATGATAATTCTCTATCATTGTTCTGTGTGCGCACGCATGCAGAAGAATTGAATGAAAGATGACAATGTTCCCTGGGCCAGTGCCAACACACCTTCCTTATTAGTGCTTGTGATGTCAAATAGTCTAAGTAGATGCGAGTAATTCTATATTCTTATTGGTCAATACCCACTACATATAATGTATTATGCATTACAATTTCTCAACCAAATAGGTAGATAAATGTAAAGAAAAACATATGTGCTTTCTGCAAAATGGTGAAGCCTCTCATGGCTTCACCACTCACGTTGACCAGTTTTCATTGTGCTAGCAAACGAGGTGTGCGTCGTGTGTTCAGGTAGCTACACGCGCCTTGAGTAAAGGCTATCCTTACAAAGGCTCCTGACCATCCAAAATACATGCAGTTTAGTTTGTCACATTATAATCAATGTGTTTAACCATCATTTTCCAGATGTGTGATTGTTGGTAACAAGATTGCAAAGTGGATGCAGCAGTTCACAAGTCACGATGAAAAGCCGCTTATGCATGTTGTGAATGCTGCAGTGGAAGAAATAACAGCTTTGGTTACAGACCAGGTAAGAAATTCAAGATCATGGTGTCAGTGTTGAAGTTGGGTCCACTGCTTCTAAGTCCATGTAAGTTTCTAAATCGTACTTGTTGTAGCACAAAACCGAAATGTTTCGGTGTCTGTTAAAAACTCAGAGCCTGAGTCCTTCTAATGCTCTCATGCATGTGTAACCTGCAGACAGAATGGTCAAGACAAGAATGGCTCTGCTGTGTCAATTTGAAAGGTGCCTCACATGTTTACCCTCAAATGGTACAATGAGAGAGAGGTTCCACATAAATACAATGCCTTGGAAACTTCCAGTCAACAAAGTAAATTGAAGAGAAGAGCATATTCAAACAATTCCATAATATTCTACAGCATCAAAAGATGTGGACAAAACCTAATAATTCCACAATCCTCTTAACTAGAAATCCAGTTAAATTCCAATCTAAATATGCAAGATCTGTGTATGCTCAAACTTGTACAGTCAAGAAAGGGAAATTTAATTAGAAAAGTGCAATGAATGCTGTCATCCTCAACCATAGACTTGAGTCAGTCCACACATTTTAACCCAAGGATCCATAAAGAAACTAAGAAATGTTACTTATTTCAAGAGGTTAATCAAAAATGATTTTAATACATTAGGGATAACAAAGAAATAGGAATACAAGTGGCGTGCCTACATTATCATCAACTATAAACAGAATTTAAGAGGCTAGTATACAGAGATGCAGCTTGTCTAGTTAAGTGAGGTCAGTAGTTTTAGAAGCGGACACATTAGGAGAGCACTATTTGAAGTGGGTAAATTTGGAGCAAACAAACCAAATAGTAGTAGTTGCAAATGGAGAATTCTGGACCACTCTCCCCTTAGGTGCCTACCCAACCTTAAAATAATGAAACCCTCACAAACCCCAAGCGTTCCGCTTCTGGATCAAAGGGCGCTCAACTCAAAGGCCGCTCAGGGTGCTCAGTCCCACCCGGCTACCTTGCAGCGTATCTACCCTCTCTCCTGCCCCACTTCTCCTTGCTTCCCTGCTTTTCACACGCACGTGTGCTTTCAATTATGCATTCTCTGACTCCAAAAACAATGAAAATTTTATTACACCCATATACAAACCAACGGACCAAAAACCAAGAATGCCGGGCCAAAAACAAAATTACATAAGTAAAAAAAGAAAGAAGAGAAAGCAATTGAAAAGGTATTGAAGAATGGAAAAGAGCACCAGAAAACACATGTGAGGGTGAGTATAGAGACACATGTTTAGCATATATGAGATGGAATAAAAAAGTTAGAACGTTTAGATGCATAGTCAGACTAATTAATAAACATACAAAATATTATCACACCTATATATAAAATCACTACGGAACCATGTCTAAACCCCAAACCTATATCATCACCGACAACTACCAACGTCTCAACGACATCAATACTCACCCAAACATAATAAGGTCCTTTTAACCCAGACAAACTTGTCATTAGTGAACCCATCAAAAGAAACAATTACGACATATCTTATTCTTACTCCCAGGTACTCTACAAGCACAAAAACCCAAACAAACGGTTATGTTTCATCATATCAACGCGTTGTTACGGAATTCAACCCATCTGCGAATTTGGAACTAAACAAGAAAAACGGGCCTATATCTAATTGTGTTTAACACAACACGAAATGTCAAAACGTTTTTGGATCAAATCAAGCAAAAAGTCTATGGTTACATTGCTGATCACACTCACAAAAGCACCTTGTTGCCTAAAACCACCCGTCAATTTGTACAAGAGTTCGAAAATCCTCCCAGCCCAGGAACCCATCGCCACCACTCTAGGCTCCAGGATGGATGACAAAGTCAAAATAAGTGATGTCGTTAAAACCCCCTATAACGAACAACATCGTATGTATGTCAAATATTAAAAACCGACCCAAATCGGTTATTTTTCAAACGGTGCAAAGTGAAAGTGTTGATCATCATACAAGATGTATTTCATGGATCTCACAGCATACTTTTGTGCAACATGAGCATTAAATATTGAGTCGATGAAGCTCAACTCAAATTTTATCTAAAAAAGCAACTTCAGATGCATTGGGTTTGAAATGATAGTGAGAGTGAGTGTCAGTGTGAAAGCGAGAGTGAGATTGTGATAGACTGAAATTTAAAAAGTACACTGTATAACCATAGAGCTCTTTGTAGCTCTATGGCATTACCAAACTCAACTTAACCCCCACCTCAATTGAAGGGGGGGTTAATTTTGTTTTAATTGCACTCGGGATTAATGGATCGGTTGCTCACAGTATTTAGGAAGTGATTTTGTTTTTGCACGTTCATACCCTAGATACCATCCGGTTTCATGTTTAACAATGTTTAGGTGCCAATTTCTTTTTCTCCTTGTCTACCATCTCTCTTGCCAATGTTTTAGCACGTTCTTCAATCATGGCGTGGGTCTTGGCTTTGGATTGTCTCGTTTTAGTCAGTTTGGTATCTGTCTTATTGCGGATCTTTCTTTCATTTTGTTAAACTTGCATAATTCACCAGTGATCAACACAAACTCTTTGCTGGAAATGTCCCCGTCATTGATCACTTGTGACACGTACTCATCGATCGTATTTAACTTTGCGTCACCCAACACTCGAGTCTGATGGTGTTTTTTACTTTTGTGAACCAACCTACTACTTGCATATTTTAACAATGCATATGCTCCAAATGCACCCATGGCGAGACCTTCCATCGCAAGTCCGATGGGGGCCAAAACAACCCCCAATAAAGCTGGGACACTTATAGCAGCCGAAGTGAAACCCAATGCCTTAACTCCGTATTCTACATAATTATGCGTGGTGAGTATCCATTTAATTTTTTTGTATGTGGTTTCTTTGGAGCCTCGTTCTTCCATCAATTCTTCTTTGATGTCCTCAATATTTTTCAGTCTGTAGAGCTTTGTTTCATTGCTCGGTTCAGCACAGCAATCAAAGGAGAAAACAACACCTCACTGGACACATGGGACAAGCTAATTCCTGGAGAGTGCCTACCTAAGTGGCTAAGAAGGCGAAACTCTCTTCATCACTTGGACAGCATCCAGATACCACGGTGCTACCAACCACCAGACTTCGGGCCAGTTAAGAGGAGGGAGTTTCATGTCTTTTCTGATGCTAGCCAATGTGCTATCGGCGCTGTCGCCTACTTATGCTTGTCAACAAAGATAGCAAGCCCCATGTCTCCTTCCTGATGGCCAAGACAAAGGTCACCCCCTTCCCACGCCGTGTCTGTGCCACGACTGGAACTCTGTGCAGCAGTACTTGGGACTGTACTCGTGCAGACGGTGACCTCTGAACAGAACGAGAAAGTAACCTTTGACGACACAAAGTACTACACAGACAGCAAGGTCGTACTTGGGTACATTGGAAACAAGTCCAAATGCTTTCATGTGTACGTTGCCAACAGGGACCACAGCATACACAAGGTTTCCCAACCAATCCAGTGGTGCTACATCTCGACAGATGAAAACCCTACTGATATCGCGTCAAGATCTGTCCCCGCCAACTGACTAAGCAGCGCCCGTTAGTTTCAAGGACCCGAGTTTCTCTGGTGAGTGGACCCGACCCCGAAAGAAGTGATATGAATTTTTCTAAAGGAAAGGCCCCAGCTCAGCGAAGATGACCCCGAAGTCATGAAGCAAGCCAATGTCTTTGCCACAAGTATCCCTGATGACTGACTGGATAAATCCATCACTGCCAATCAACAAAGCCTGACATGCGAGAGGTTTTCACGCTTTTTGACTTGGTTCTCCCTCAGAAGGGCCATAGCGAGTCTGTTGGCAAGGGCAAGGGCAAGGACCTACAAAGACCAGCATGGTAAAGACGATCCCCCCAACCAATCCAGAAGTCAGAACTCGCAACTGCACACCAGGGCCACCCTAAACGACCTACAGCAGGCCGAAAGAGTCATCTTCCATGCTGTTCAAGCATCCCACTTCATCAGAGAGATTGCATGTCTAGAGTCTGCATCCACTTCCAAACGTCAGATCCACATAAAGAAAACAAGCCCCATGCACCAGCTCAACCCATTCCTGGATCAAGGTGGACTCATCCGAGTTGGCGGCAGGCTCAGGCAAGCAGACTTAGACCTCGGAGGATGTCACCCTCTCCTCCTCCTGAAAAATAGTCATGTGGTTAGGCTTATCATTCAGCACGTCCACCGTGAGGCCAAGCACCTCGGACATCACAAGGCCCTCGCAGCAATCCGAAACGGAGGCCAATGGGTCATCGGAGCTCATGGCACCGTCTGAAGCATCATAAACCAATGCGTCACCTGCCACAGGCTTCGAGGCAAGCAACTCTCACAGATAATGGCTGACCTACCTGTTGACAGGCTCCAGACAACACTGCCATTTATCAACGTTGGGATGGATGTTTTCGGCCCATGGATCGTCACAGCAAGGAAATTATGAGGCGGCCTAGCTAAAGCCAAGAGAAGGGCCGTCCTCTTTACCTGCCAATGCACCAGAACAGTACACATCAAGGTCATTATAGCTATGGATACCTCCGCCTTCATCTCATCACCAAGAAGATTCGTGGCAATCCGAGGTCCAGTCGCCCGCCTTAGATGCGATTGAGGCGCAAACCTCATCAGCGCTGAGGGAAAGCTGAAGCATAAAGAGATTACACAGTACTTGACTACGAAGAACTGTCAGTGGATTTTAATCCACCCAAGGCTTCCCACTTTAGAGGAATCTGGGAACGGCAGAGCCGGACAATTCGAAGCATCCTGGACTCTATGTTCCTTCAACAAGGAAAACACCAACTCACTCACCAAGTCCTTACCATCTTCCTGGCAGAAGCTACGGCTATTGTCAATTCCAGACCCATCACAACCCTTTCATCAGACCCAAACGACGCCCAGGCACTTACGCCAGCAATACTTCCGACTCTGAAGACGCAAGCCTTGGAAGCGCCCCCAGACCAGTTCTTCAAACAAGATCTTTATGGCAGACAATGCTGGAGACGTGCCCAGTATCTCGCCAAGTTCTGGTCAAGG